GGTTTTGATCCTGAAACTGTGCCGCTAAAATATGGAAAATGCGTGAAGATGGCATGCATGAGAACCCCATGGGGTACACTTGTGAAAAGCGTGCAAAATACATCCAGGAGGGAGATGCTTGTAAGGCTGCCTTCCTTGAATGCTGTCGCTACATCAAAGGGATCCGAGATGAAAACCAACGGGAGAGCGAGTTGTTTCTGGCAAGAAGTAAGTAGCAGGTTCTGGGTTTATTGAAAGAAAGGAACATTCAGTTCACAATATCTGGAAAATGTGGCACATAACAGCATCACCAAGGCTTGGAAACCCATTTGGAGCATATTGTTATTATTATTATTATGTATTTATATGTCATTGTTGCTAATTTATAGCCGAGCTTTAGTGCAAAATACAGCTCTGTAAATGCAGGAGGAACATTAGAAGTTGGGCTGAGTGAGGCCTCACTCATGGGATTCACATCACATCAAGTCTTCCAGTCCCTGGGCTCTCTCAGTCCCCATCAAGATTAGGTCTACGCAGCATGCAGGCATACTCTCATTACATCACTGTTTTTAATTAAAGCGGACCCAAGAATCTGCTGCTTCCTCTCAAAGCAACCCACCACATTTTTTAAAATATTGGTGACCTTTTGGTTCAGCTAAAGCACTAGCAGCTTTTGGGGAGGTCTCAGTGGTTGAAGAAAACTGTTGTGAGAAATGATTTGGAGGGCTTGTTGAGTGAAAATGGTGAAAGTACAGATCTTTCTTTGGTGGTGGTTTAATGGTAGACTGCTTCAATTTTACTCTAGTTGGAACAGTGAACTATAAATTAAAACCTTGATTTAAAAAAATGGAATTTGAAAAGGATTTTTTTAAAAAGACTGAGCTAAAAATGGTCAAGATGGCAACCATAGTAGGGTGGTTGAATGCCTTTTTTATGTGCAAAATACATGTGAACCAGTGCGTGTGCATGCTCACAACCAGCGAACCCCTTGTCAACAAAAGTGTAGCCCACCTCTGGTGTAAACCCTCCTGAAGAAAAGAGAATAAATAAGCATTGTTGTGAGAGAGCTGCACTTTGAAGTGTCAACAAGACAGGGAGAGGATTAGAAACAAATATGGCCTTGATTTTCCTTGCCCTGATAGATAATTGTTTTTTTAATTTTTGCTTTCCATGTCCGACTGAAAATTCATTATTTCTTAATTTTATTTTATGTATACATGTTACAGAAACAATTATTAATTCTCATCATGTCCTTGCTAGTACATCTAATACTGTATGTGATAGAAACAGTACCTGTTGACCGACAGAGTGCCTCATTCTGAATAGCTTGAGTTTTCAAGAAAGAAATTGAACCATTGAAAGAATGCCAGTTTGCATGTCAGTACTTTATGGTAGATAACAAGTGAGGGAAAGTATACTGTGATTAACGAAAACACAGAGATGCCTACTATTTTTGAAAATAGCTATCTAGTTAACTGGGGCTTATTTAATAAAGTATTGTTAAAAAAGAGTACCTTATACCAACTCGCGTTCTGTTTTCCAGGTGATTTTGAAGATGAATTCTTTGGAGAGGACTACATCATCTCCAGGTCTGATTTTCCTGAGAGCTGGCTTTGGCTAACAGAGGACTTGAACAAGCCGCCTAACAGTCAAGGGTATTGGAGTTCTGCTGTTTATATTAACTCACTTTTCAGTTATTGCAGAATTTTTACAGGAATGGGGAAGATGGTGTCTCTTCCAAGAGGAAAGGATCAGAAAAGGTCCTGAATGAAACCTGGGGTTTATTCACCTTCTTTAGAAGAAAAAAACTACTTGTTCGTCACTGTCTTTATTATGGCCAATGACCAGAATTCCATTTTAAAAAGGTAGAAATGATGTCTGGTTGGTTGGTTTTCGTTTTACAACCACATTGGTTTTACAAAAAGTATTTTTGCCACATTCAAAGCAACTGAATCATATTGGTGAACTGTAATGAAACTGAATGATTATAACAATTCTCCATAAAATAAATCTGAGTGAGCCAGAAGTTTATTTAAAAAGGGGAATAGAAGACCTAGACCCATGTTTTCTATAAGTGCATCAATGCATCAATTGTATTTTCAACTGCCTCTTTGTCACTGTTAAGTTTGAGGCATGGGTTTAATGAACGGAGACCAGACTGTAAACCGTGAACTTCAGCTCTTTATTCACAAGCATAACAGAGACAACAGAACCCCGGCTAGCAGTCACTCTTTTATAGCGTAAGCTGCTATCCGGATAACCAATGGATAGAGTTATAGCATTTGAATCTTGGCGCGGCCCGCCAACAGCCAGTCAGATTGCTCGGAATGAACCAATCGTAACTCGCCATTATATGGGCCAATAGGATGTGCAGGATTACGATTCTGCTAGGCAAATGAATCTTTATTAATTATATTTCTTTAGTTCACAACACCCCGCCCCCTTGGGTTTCGTTTGACGGCCGTGGTGACGTAATCACGCAGGTATGCAGGTCGTTTTACCTGCCTATTTGATTTTCGCTGTTCCACCGGTTTTTTAAAGTTCGGTTCCGGTGGAACGCAAGGCTCGTCTTCGTTCGGGGTTGATTCCGCGGTGCTGTTTTCGGCACTATCAGAGTCCCTTAAGTCCATTCCTGGATCGGGCGGGCACGCCTCCACTACGGTGTTCCTCCGTGGGGAGGATGCCCCCGATCCCGGACCTTCTTCAGGTGGCTCGAGTACTCGGTTTAGCGGCCGTCTATCCTCGATTATGTCGTTGTCTATAAGGCCTTCGTCCCCCTCGGTATTCCCTCCCCCTTGAGTTTGGAAGTCAGAGGGGTCGCGGATATTTGGTTGTAAGCGAGATCGGAGTTGATCTATGTGGCGTTTCCATATCTTGCCGTCTGTCATCTTAAGGCGGTAAGATCTAGGGCCAGTGAGGTAGACTACGGTGGCTGGGACCCACAACGGTTCGCCGGAAAGGTTTTTTGCGTAGACCAAGTCGCCTACCTTGAATTGGCGATACGTTCCGCTGGATCCACAAGGTTTCTCTGGCGAGTAAGACGGGTGTAGTCGGTCGAGGTGGGAGCGAAGCTTCCGCCCCATTAAAAGTTCGGCTGGGGTCTTGTTGGTGACACTGTGGGGGGTAATGTGTTGTAGTAAGAGTATTTTGTTCAATCTAACGTCGATGTGCCCCGGATCCATTTTTTGGAGTGTCTTTTTAGGAATTGGACCATCCGTTCCGCCCTACCATTTGCCGCAGGGTGAGCCGGCGAAGTTAAGGCATGGCGGATGCCCCGGTCTGCCAAGTATTGTTCGAAGGTGAGGGCAGTAAACTGGGGTCCATTGTCGGAAACTAGAACGTCCGGGAAACCGTGCGTTGCAAATAATCTATCTAGTTTTTTAATAACAGAGTCAGTAGTTGTGCTTTTCATCTTGTGGATTTCGAGCCAGTTGGAGTAAGCATCCACGGTTAGGAGAAAAGTGTGTCCTTTCGTGCGTCCCGCGAAATCGATGTGGATGCGGGACCACGGGCCTCGAGGAGTTTCTCATTCGGTGGGAATTGCTCTCGGTGGGGCGTTGCTGACTTCTTGGCACTTTCTACACGTGGTAACCCAGGCTTCAATTTGTTTATCGATGCCTGGCCACCACGCGTAGCTTCGAGCGAGAGCCTTCATGCGGACGATGCCCGGATGTCCTTCATGCAGGGTTTGCAACACGAGTCACTGTAGTCTCTCTGGCACGACGACTCTATCTCCCCATAGGATGCAGCCCTTCTGGGAGAATAGTTCCGTTTGCCGGTTCTTGAACGGCGCAAAAATGGCGGGGGTTTCTTCGACTGGCCACCCGCGTTCGACCCAACTGAGAACTTTTGCGAGGATAGAGTCTCATTTTGTGCCGGCAGCGATATCTCTTGCCGTTAGTGGCGGCGAGTTGAGGATTTCAATTTGCAGCGTGGTGAGGGTTGGAGCTGGGTCGCTGACGGTTTCCGGAAGTGGGGAACGGCTCAAAGCGTCAGCGTGGGGAATGGCTTTCCCCGGGCGATGCTGCAGTATGTAGTTGTAGGCTGCTAGGAATTCTGACCAACGAGTCATTCTAGGCGATAATATATACGGGGTTGGTTTATCACCTGCTAAAATGCCAAGTAAAGGCTTGTGGTCTGTAATTAGAGTAAAGGGCCGCCCGTACACATATTCGTGGAATCGCTTCACGGCCGATACAATAGCAAGAGCCTCTTTGTCAAGTTGGCTATAGTTTTGTTCAGCCTTCGATAATGTCCACGAAAAGTACGCAATGGGGGCTTCATGCCCGTTTGGTAACACGTGACTCAAAATGGCTCCAACCCCAAATGGTGATGCGTCGCACGTAATATTTAATGGCAAAGTCTCGTTGTACTGCATTAGAACAGCATCAGATGTTAATAAGTCTTTCACTTTTTGAAAAGAGTGTTCTTCTCGATGTCCCCAGACCCAGGTGGCTTTCTTGTCGAGAAGCCTATGTAGGGGCTCAGCTACGGTCGCCTTCTGGGACAAGAAGATGTTGTAAAAGTTAATAAGTCCCAGGAAAGCCTGGAGATCAGTCTTATTTTTAGGTCTTGGGGCATTCTTGATTGCCCTGAGTTTGTTTTCGGTAGGGTGAATACTGTTTTTGTCGAGGAGGTATCCGAGAAACTCTACCCTTTCAGTGCATAGTTGACATTTATTTTTTTTAACCTTGAGACTGGCGTCCTTAAATCTATGTAAAACCAATCTGAGACGCCTTTCAAGCTCTTCTCTATTTGGGGCAGCAATTAACACGTCATCGAAGTATGGTACAACCCCTTTTATCCCCTGTAAAAGTCTCTTCATTAGACTCTGAAATATCCCGGGGGTTACACTCACTCCAAACTGGAGTCTGTTGCATTTAAAGGCACCTCGGTGTGTAACAATAGTCTGTGCCTCTGCGGTTTCCGCATCAATGGGTAGTTGTTGATACGCTTGCGCTAAGTCTAACTTTGCGAAGATCTTCCCACCGCCCAGGGAGTGGAGAAGATGTTGAACCACCGGCACCGAATAAGCGCTCTGTTGGAGTGCGTGGTTCAGAGTGGTGCGGTAGTCTCCACAAATTCTGATCGACCCATCCGGTTTGATGGGGGTTACGATTGGGGTTTCCCAACGGGCGTGGTCAATAGGCTCCAACACCCCTTGGGCTATTAACTTATCAAGTTGCTCGTCAGTCTTGGGTTTAAGGGCGAACGGAACCCGATGAGGCTTAAGGCGGATAGGGGCTACTTCTGGATTGAGGCTAAATGATATAGGGGTCCCCTTGTACTTGCGCTCTGTTGGAGTGCGTGGTTGTCCGAAAACACGTCGTGGAATTCCTGGACGATGCTCTCTTCCCAATCGTCGCTTCCGGCCTGGTGAATGCCGGCCACCTCGATCCCGAGTGGGGCGAACCATTGTAGGCCTAGTAAGCTGGGCCGGTCACCATCGACGACAGTTAATGGAAGTGACACGGCACGATCTTTAAAAGATACTTGGACTTGACTCACTCCGACGACTGGGATCGTGTTCCCCTGGTAATCTCTGAGGATGATTTTCTGTGTTCTGAGGTCTTGCCAACGGATGGCAGGGATCAGCTGTTTAAGGGTCTTCCAGGAAACCATTGAGAGGGACGATCCGGAGTCGACTTCCATCAGGCAAGGTTTGTTCTCTATCGCCACTTCCACTCGGATCTTTTGTTTGTCTAATGACGAAGCGTGGCCGATAATAATAGTCTGGTGTGTCTCTTCTCGTCGTGCTGGAATAGCAGATGTTTTGCTGCTGTAGGCATGGTTGTTCCATTGGTTATTCAAATGATCCCGATTTCCAGGGAGGTTCCCTGTGGTTTGGCGGAGGTTGTTCTCCTTTCTATTTGTGTTGAATTCCCTCTTACTTCTGCAGACCTTGCCAGTGCGATGTGGCCTCTCTTCCCACAGGAACGGCAGATTGCGTCGAGGAATTTGCAACCGGATCGCGAGTGGTTTCCCCCACAACCCGCACATGGGCGCTGAAGTTTTAGAGTTTGTTGATCTCGTTCGGCCCGAAGTCTGTTAACCTCTTCTTCATCACTCTCGGATTGGGACTCGAGGTCCTCATGGTGCGCTGTTGCTGAGTGTCTTTCTAGTTGAGGCGAGGCTTCGTGGGCGAATTGACGGAGCGGCGCGTTGGTGCGGTGCATTCGAGCGGCCGACTTCTTGGTTGCCTCTGCTGCAGTAGCGTCAGCAATGGCATCTGCAAGATCGATGTCCCCTTTTGCCATGATCTTGCTCTGTACTGTGTGGTCATCTAATCCCAGAACTATGCGGTCTCGCATAGCTTCTTCTAGGTCTGAAAAGCCACAGAGGCCTCCCAGGTTTCTAAGATCAGCGATGAAGTCTGCAATACTTTCACCCTTCCGCTGATCCCGTTGATAAAATTCGTGTCTCCGGACCAACGTTGGTATGGCGGGGGCATAGTGAGCCCGTAGGATAGGCTCGAGGTTGTCCCAATCCATTGCTGTCACCTCAGCCGGTTTCGCGAGCGCCTTCGCCATTCTAAAACTGGCTGGTCCACAATGGGTCAAGAACACCGCCCGCTTCTTTCCGGCTGTTGCGTCTTTCAAATTGTTGGTTTCTAGAAACATTTGAAACCGATCCATATACGACTCCCAGACTCCCAGGAGCGGGTGGTATAGCGCCACCTGACATCCTGCCGATGTAGATGCGCTCTCAGCCACGTGCTCTGTAGGGTTTAGTCAGCTCTATTGTCTCCGTATCCCATCCTCGTCGCCAGTGTTAAGTTTGAGGCATGGGTTTAATGAACGGAGACCAGACTGTAAACCGTGAACTTCAGCTCTTTATTCACAAGCATAACAGAGACAACAGAACCCCGGCTAGCAGTCACTCTTTTATAGCGTAAGCTGCTATCCGGATAACCAATGGATAGAGTTATAGCGTTTGAATCTTGGCGCGGCCCGCCAACAGCCAGTCAGATTGCTCGGAATGAACCAATCGTAACTCGCCATTATATGGGCCAATAGGACGTGCAGGATTACCATCCTGCTAGGCAAATGAATCTTTATTAATTATATTTCTTTAGTTCACAACAGTCACAAGGACAAAGTCCTAAAGATATGGGATTTCTCCAAACTTTCCTACAGGAATAGTTGCTGGAAATGTTTAAAACGTGCTAAGGTTTAGGCTCTTCTAAATTTAAAGATGAATATTTAGTTTTAATATTTTGCTGGTTTAAAAAAGGAAAGGCCGACAAATGTAATTATCTTTCTGCATCCATAATTGATTGTTTAAGGCTTAAACTCACACCATCCTTTGAAAAGCCATGAATTTTGATAAATTAATCTTAGCCAAGTGGATCCAGATTTATCAGTCATGAACAAAGGACCTAGGTCCATTGGGAAAAAAAACTAGTTTCAGCCAAGTAGAGATATACATTGGTATATGCTGTTTTCCACTTCTCACACTGCTTCACATTGAAGGATTCCATTAGCAGCAATAATGCACCTTTCCCCTTGGGTTCTACTATATAGAGAACAGTAGAAGGATCAGGAAATGGTAGCTGTGGAGAAAGCTGCTTTTCAGCTCTTGCCACTTGGACTAGACCAGTTTGTTGTGCATCATCTCCCATCACATGGCAGCTTTGGAAGCTTAAAGGAAATGTGACAGTGAGTCACCTTGAAGTTGATTTCAAAGTTATGAAAAGGTAGTTTATTATTTATCCAGAAGCAATCAAATTGCATTGTCATATCTGTTTCCCATATTACTGTTGATTGCTTTCAAAATGGGTGTTTTATTTTGAAGCCCCTCTGTTCAGTGATGGGATTCAATTTTTTTTACTACCGGTTCTGTGGATGTGGCTTGGTGGGCGTGGCAGGGGAAGGATACTGTAAAATCTCCAGGCAGAGGTGGTATTCAGCAGGTTCCGACTAGTTCTGGAGAACCGGTAGCAGAAAGTTTTAGTAGTTCGGAGAACTGGCAAATACCACCTCTGACTCTGTTGCAAACTTAGAATTTAATGGGAGAAATAGCTGACAACAACTTCCATGTGGAACTTGTTTGTATTTCCCATTGATTCTCAGACCCTTTTGGAAGGAAGGATGCTGTATGATTGGTAGTTGTAGGAGTTGTCTATCTATACTAGTTTTAAAATGCACAGTATAATAGCTCTGTAAATTATGTGTCACATTTCATTTTGTCCCTAGGATTTCAAGCAAGACACTACCTTTGTATCTGAAGGATTCCATCACAACCTGGGAGGTGCTGGCTGTGAGCATTGCACCCACCAAAGGTAAAGAATTATGAATGATAGAAAGTTGGCAGGGGTGAAAAGCACCTAAGAATTAAAGTAGAACTAACTTTTTTTGGGGGGGTGCTGTTGTTGTTGGGCTTTGCCATTGGCCTTCCTTGCAGGGATCTGCGTGGCTGAACCTTATGAAATAACAGTCATGAAAGACTTCTTCATTGATCTTCGAGTGCCGTATTCAGTAGTGAAGAATGAGCAGGTGGAGATTCGAGCTGTTTTGTACAACTATGCTGACAAGGATATTTATGTAAGTTTTGGGACTGTGAAAAGAGTGCGGGTCTAGAAATTAGGAAATGTGCATGTCTTGTGTTGCTATCAATTCTTTGACAGACAAACTTTATGTATTTCCAACTCTAAGCCACTCTGACCAATAAAAAAAGTGCCAGTGATGGAGTTAATGGTGGGCAGATTTGGCAAGACTGTTTGGACCAGAGCTGCTTAAACATTTTGCTGTCAGAACCTCTTCCCGCTTTTAAACATTATGGAGGGCCCCCAAAGAGCTTCTATTCCCATGGGCGACATTTATCAATCTTTACCATATTAAAAATTAAAAGGGATGCATTTGCAGAATATTTACTGAATAATATAAAAACAATATTATGAAAAAAAATAACATAATAATGAGAAATGTTTGCAAATACCTTTACTGCCTGGCAAATAATTCTGATATTGTGAGCCCC